GTGTACAGCTTGCTCTTTAAGCTTCATAGGGTTCCCCAGGTAAGAATTTGCCTTGAGTGTCAGAGTACTTGATTTTGCACTCTCAGTAATGCTAGGACTCGTGGCTCTAGGTGGGGCTGTGGGTATAAAACACCACGTCAGGTGAAACTGCCACCTTCTTGTCGGTACTTGAAGACTGAAGTGTGGTTTAAAGAGCTGTGTGTGGGTTTCAGGCCAACCACACAGGCTGGGCTTAACTATCTATGAGATTTGTCTGGGAGCCCCAGAGCGGGTGAGGGAAGTGCTTCTGGGTGAGAAGCAGAGGTTGTGGCTCCTTCCTCTCCGGCACTGTTGCACTACTGTGATCCCAGAGTCACAGTAGATCAAGCAGCCCTGCTGTTACTCCTTCCTGCCATGATGCCTTCTTCCTGGAGCCAGCTGACTCGGACGAATTTTATGAAACCACGAACTAAATGAATTTCTGCTCCTTTAAACTGTGAGCTTCAGGTGTTTCACCCAGCGAGAGGAAAGCTGACCAATCAAGGGAGCAGTACCAATTACAGTGGTCCTTCTGGCTGCATTTCAAATTGAATGAAAACCAAATCCAATTCCCCACAGCCAACACTGAACATAATCATCAAATCTGATTCAGTTCTCATCCAATTCAGTTTGCAACTAGAATTGTAAGATGAATCAAGTCCATGAATGCAGATACCACTGTACTACATTACTACATTTCACTCTACCTCTCTATAAACTTTCAGATAACAGAGAAATTATGTTCTGAGTAGAAAACATTTGTACCAAATAGTTTTCATGTGGAAGCTTCATGTATGTGTTCATATATGAACAGGAATGTATGTACCTACACATCTGTACAGGTACACATACAGACAGAATATTAACCAGCAGCTTTTAAAGGCCATATACATTTGCACATGGTGACAATGAAAATGTTCACAAAGAAAAAGAAATGAACAGATGGTGTCTCCAGATTCTTATTTACAGATAAAGATGAATCGAACAACACGGATGCCAAGGAGCTAACAAGAGACAATTTAACAGATGAGGAGATGCTAACTGCAGCAAGCAAGATAAATCTAGAAGCTCAGGACAAATAAGAAAGATGTCACCATGTGCACACAACTGCAGTGATTTTTTTCCAGAACAGGAAATAGTATCTCCAAATTTTTCAGTGAAAATGGTAACTAAACTAAAATAACACCTGTCAGACTCAGTGAATCACCACTTCTGAATCAAAAAGCAGAATGGAAAGCACATAAACCTTGCTTTTAAAATATCTTTTGTGTCTTACAAGTATCACTAGTTCTGAAAATATAATGCTAATGGTTAGTTTATTAATTATAGGACAACCACTTTCAGCTTAGCCCGACACCTGTTAAAACACATGTGGCTAATTCTTCACCCTGACTTCAGAGAGATACCATCACTGTAACCCTCAGCCCAAAGGACAGCTAGACAGGCTCCTGTCTCTGCAGTTCTCTGGCATCCTAAGCATCTATTATTAGTGCCGTGGGTACCTGCAATAGCAGAATGAGATCCGGCATCGTGAACTGAAAAACATCTCAGAATCTCCCCCTGAGGATGGCGCCTCTTCGGCCATCCATGGATGCCTGCAGCACTCTCTGCTCTCCACCAAGCACTGCAGCAAGGCCAGCGCCACTGCAGCAGGATCCATGAGGTGCTAAACTGGGACTCGTGTCCTCTTCAAACACTAACATTTCACGAACACAGAGAAACACCAACAGAGCTCCTGTGCAGCACAGTGGGACCCACAGTGACCTGCAACTGTACTATGGTCCCTTAAAGCAAGGCATGTCCCAGGGAGGCGTGTCCCAGGGCTTGGGCGGTGTAAACAGCAAGGAAGCCACTGAAGGACTGCAAGGAGAGGGGCAGTATTATCCCACCCACTCTCACCCACTCTCAACAGCTCCTCCCTGGCTGCTGGACAGGGAGGGGACTACACCAGGTGAGGGGAGTGACGAGAGGCGAGCCGAAGTGGTTTTGCTTTAGACAGACAGAGTCAAGATGCTTTCTTGACAGATTTAAGGGGTATGAAAAAAAGACTTCACCTTTACTGCCTGCAGAATAGGGAGCACAAAGCTACCGTTTCTGAAATGAGAGAAAGTGTCCGAGGAGCAGGTTTGGAGGCATGGCGGCAGGGCATGCAGGTCCTGCCACATCTGTCAGGCTGAACGGCTTTCCCAGCAGATGTGTGAGGTGCCCAGGTGCAGCTCAAGCAGTGCAGCTCCAGGAGGAGATGCCACAGAGAGGCAGCCTGAGCAAGCCCACGGCTGCAGGTGGGGCAGGTGGCATGGCAGCAATGTCAACAGCTAGTGTCCTCAGCAGAGGGACAGAGCTCACAGCAGGCCGGAGCCCTGAGCCGCTGGGAAGTCCCAGGGAGGAGGGGTGAGCAAGAGCCCAGCAAGGGTACAGAGCAGGGTCCACCGCAGTGCGAAGCCTGCGTCTTGAGGCCCAGGACCCCGTGTGGGAAGCAAAGCCACCCAGCCACAGAATGAAGGACCGTGAGGTGACTGGTGGGCGACATGGGTGCAGACTGTGGGGGCCACAGAGCCTGCACTCGGGGTCACAGCAAACATGGACGGGGATAGTGCCTTCCGGGAATTGTGCAGTAACAGGAGGACAGAACGGGACTTCAAGGGATGGAAAGTGGGTGCAAGAGAGGACATGTAAATACGGGAAGAAACATGGCTGCTTGTCAGCTTTCGAAAAAGACCCAGTGGAAGTTACTCCTCCCTTGAAACAAATAAAATAACAATAAAGGAAGAATCCAGCCCTTATCGAGAACCCCACCAAGAATCTTGACTGTCAATTTCTAGAAGGCCTCGAGAAACATACAACACAGAGACAAGGAATCCTTCAGTGGCTGGAAGTCAGTGTCTCTGGATCGACCTCCCACTCCCAAAGCCACCACTGTTTATTTGGTGTATATGCTGACAGGTAAGGCTACCAAAGGGTGCTGATTCATCTGAAGACTCCGACTCCAGAAGGCGTAGATGATCTTAGGTTTAGAAGGACCCTGACCCGGAGTACAATCCTGAGATGATTTAAGAAGGTGTAGATGATCTTATGCTTGGAAGAGTCAATGGTAAATCTAAGATGGGTGATACCAACAATCCCAGTCCTTCCTCTTATCCCATAGGGAAATATGCAAATTTAACCACTGTGAATTTGTCGTCCCCAACAAGCCTTTAAAGATCAGGAAGTTCTGTCATTGGTGACAGCACACACACATCTGCAGGACGTTATGCTGGCACAGAAGGCATGCAGAGGAAGACCTAGCACTATGTGATTCCGTTCACGCCTTAGTCTGGGGGTCTTGAGTGCCCAGAGGCAGGGTAGAAGCAGTAGTCATGTGGCCTGGAGACAGTACTGAGGAGACCCCCGCTCAAGCTACTTGCATCTCAGGCTGGAGAAAAGGAGTAAGAGCACTATCCATCCAGCATGGGGGATGAACGGAAAGATCTCGTTGTGTACTTGAAAGTCACCGACAGAGGAATTCTCAATGCTCTCACCATGAAAATAAATTATCTCAAGTAATGCTTGCTAATTAGGTTGATTTAGTCAGTCAACAATAACTATATAGATTTCAAAACACACTGTGCACAAAAACCACATGTAATCATACTTGTTGACTTAAAAAATCTATTTAATTAGCATGGAGATTCCTCAAACATTAAAGCTAGAAATCTATCTGGGCCAGATATTCCCAAAAGAGTTTAGGATGTCACATCACAGGGACCCTCGCACACACATTTTTATAGCTGCACAATTTGGAATAGCTAAAGCATCCTACAGTCCATGGACAGATGAATGGATAAAGAAAATGCATTTACATACGGTGGAGTATCACTCTGCCATAAAGGGGGATAAACTTGAACCATCTGCAGGAAATGGGTGCACCTGGAGACCGTAATGTTACGTGAAAAACATCAGCCACACAAGCTTAAACCTCACATGGCTTCTCTGATATGAAAACCCACGGCATAAATAAAGAGCAAAATTCAACCCAGATAACAGGAAATAGAAAGAACTTTCACAAATGAGAAAGTGATTGAGGGATGAGGGAAGGAAAGGAAGAGGGGCAAAGGGGTCAAGAAATGAATCGGGTGTGTTATGCACAAGTACCAACTCACACAGGGACATAAACATTATTTACTGCAAGCATGGACTAATAAAAAAACCAAGTAAGGTAACACAGTAAAAACCTAGATACCCAGCAGATTGGAGACAATAACACAAAAGCGCCTGGTTGGGAGATCTGGGTGAAAACCGGCAGGAGCATCCCGAGAGTTAGCAACCTGCGGAAGGCAAAAAGGATGGTGTGTTTGCGACAGCCACGCTGCTCTAAGGCTGGCTCCACCAATGGGCCCAGCTCGTGGTTCGTCCATCCTCTGCCTGCTCACCCCTGCACCACTCACAGCTTTCTGAACAGAACCTGCTTCCTCCCACCCCTCGGCCGTTTCCCCAGAAACGGTCCATTACCCGAAACCCCTAGCTCAGTTCTGCGGCTCCCCGGAATGTATACACCACACCACTCTTCCAGTAGGGCCTCGCTTGTCTGCCAGCCTGGAGACAATTATGATCTCCGGCGAGCAATCTCCTCTGAAAGATGCCAGTCCCACAGTGCGCCCCTCACCGCTCTTCACCATCCAAGTCTGAGTTTATATGTGGCACACAGCAGTGAGGAGAATATCAATCGTTAAATAAGTGATTTTTTACATCCCTAGAATTCAACAAATCAGAAAAACACTACCTACTTTTTAAAACCAAACGGTTGTTGCAAGATTTGTCACCTGAGCCATAGAAAAGCTGGAATTACTCAGCCTCATTCGTATGGAAAAAAGAAAAATTATAAATCAAAAAGAAACAAACATAAATGAATCTGTGTATAATGCCGAATAAAAATTGACATATTACTGGTTTGAAATAGAACCAAAGAATTAGAAATAACCTGAGATTTGGTGGTAATATTTTACCTTGTTTTATATCAGAATTTCTTGTAGCCTTTGAGACATAGCAGTGTGGCAAAGGGTACGATGAAAACATTGGCCAAGGGTATGGATCATCACCCTAAAAAAGAAACAAGCAGGGAAGTTTAGGAAGTGGTTTATAATGATATTGAATTTTAGCATCTTCTGAAATATCATTAATTTAAATGGGATTTTTCCTTGTAAGTTCTAGAGTTGTTGCCCAACTCCCCAAGAGTTATCTGGTACTGTGTATTGCTATGTCAAAAGATAATAACCTAAAATAAAATATAAGAAAAACAGCATTAAGAACTGAAAACAGACACATGGTACCGTGTTATTAGGACTGGTAGTGAAGACTTAACTGTTTTTTTATGAAAGGAAAATTATAATCATCAAAAGAAACCTATACTTTTTCCTGTGAAACTGTTTTCCTTGTCAATCATTTCTATTTCATTTTTCCCAGAGTATCAATCAAGTAAAGAATGCTCTAACCAACAAAAATAAAACACCTCCATGAAAAACCAATACCAAGCATATATTGACGTTAGAAGGCTCTGTACTGCCAAAGGACACGCAGAGGCTGGATGAAAGTCAAGCATCAGGAAAGACAAAGACCTGGGAAGTAGAATAGCAAATTCCTAACAGAACAGTGCCCCACTCCGCCATACTGCACAGCCTGCTGTCGTGGTGCTGTCTTGGTTAAGGGCACCAAGTTGTGTCCACAACAGAAGCTTAAAACTGCATGGTGCAGACACCTAGGAGATGTCACGCAGCTGCCCTCCAGGCAGCTCCCTGGCTCCTCAACATGCCAGGTAAACACCCCCACTCTTTACTGCACTCACCTCCTCCAGCGTCCTGGGAGGCAGAATCCGTTCCGATGGCCCCCCGATAACATTCATTCTTACAAGAATGTGGTTTCTCTCTACTGATAAGCCGTCGATTATGAAACCCCTGGAAAGATTAAATATAGCAATTAGGTCAACTCCATCACTGATTTTCAAAACCATGTCACTGGAATGTACAGGGGAAAGGCAAAAAAGTCTGGAAAACATTATTTAACCGTGCTTTGTGTGAAATACACAAAAAGGCTCACTTTAGTCTTTGCTTTCTTAGCTAGAAAGGGGATGAACTCACGGAGATACAATTGATACAAGATCAGTGACACTAATAGAACAGTATTATCCTTGGTAAATGTTATGGGACTTTAAAGAAATGGGTTTAAAGCACACATTACTTCTGCAGTGACCTCAGCACATAGTAAATCAAGGTTTTCTTATGGTCATGATGCAGAGTCTTGAACTGAAAGCCTAAATGCTGGCGTGAGCTGTATGGACCACCACTCTTCCCTCCACATCAAACCCCAGCCAAGTAACACCTTACACATCCCCAAGCCCTGGCTTGCATGCAGGGGAACTGTTCCTTCTTCCAAAATCACAGACATGAAAACAACACCACTTAATGGCTGCATATTTGATAAGTGTCAGTCAAATGAGGTAATGGTAAATGTGACTTATTAAGAGAAAAACTGTCAAGACAGTATCGCAACCTCATTTTTCAAATAATCAGATTTTATAACCATGGGCTACGATAATTACGAAAATGGAGAAACGAGTCATCAAATCAAATGTTTTATTCAGTAGGTCACTGCACACAGACAGGGTGAATTTAAAAGTGATACAATTGCACAGACCTATTAATAAAGTTAGGGCTTACCTGAAATCATAAAAATGGAAATAGAAAACAGCCACAAACTTTCCAAAATGGTACTCTAAGCCCTCTCCAAAAAAGTCATCATCTCTCCGTGTCACTGGCACTTGTGAACTCCAACAGGAAGCAAGCAAGCTGCACAGAAACCACTGCCCCAGGGGAGCCCCCATGGGCACCTGCAGCACCCGTGTCCCACACCCTGCGCTGCCCACCTGTGGCTCGAGGGGGCCTCTGAGATGTTTGCTTCCTGAGCCTGCAGTAGCACTCTGGACACCTGGTACTGGGCCTCCAGGAGGAGAAGTGTGTCCAGGGCACAGCACATCACACTGAGCAATCTGGAAAGTGAAAGCAGAGGAAGAGTTTGGGAATGCGTCCTGATCGTGTAGACACAGTCTGAGGTGGTGAGGTACCTGACATACGTGGACATGAAGATCTTACGTGGAAGGCCAATTTTGGATGCATTTTTAACAAGTATGAATAGTCTCTTCAAAAGTTCATACTCAAATTTTTTTCAGAGGCCAATGGTAATTTGTAGTCCGTAGGTTTGAAAATGTACCTGAAGCTCTATGAATACTAGGGTACTTTCTTCTCCACTGCTGCTTCACTTAAGAATTCAGCAGGAAACATTCGCAGGGAAACAGGCTGAACCAGCACAAGGTGGGAACAGTTCACCCAATCCAGAACTTGGAGAGCTTTACAGGTTACTACGTATACTATGCCTTCAGAACGGAAATGGAGTGAAAAAAACATGGAGGAAACATAAATTTGAAAAGAAATACTGAGCAATGTGGTATTTTGATCTTGATTCAAATACAGAAACAAATGTAAAGATACTGTTTGAGTCTCAATTCACACAATTAAAAGTGCAACTTTTGATTCACACAGTACAACATGGAATAGGTGCCCGAAGAGCTTGGGCCATCCTGCTAATTTTACTGGACGCAGCAATGGAATGGCAATAAAGGTTTGCAGTTTTATTTTCTGTTTTGCTTTTCATAATGGGCCTTTATGTGTTAGAGTGACATATGGAATTGTTTATGGTAAAATGAAATATCCCTTAAGGTACTTAAATAAAATAATGAGACGTAAGACACTGCAAAATTACTAACAACTCATCAGGGTGGTGGAGGAAACCCAGGAGTGTTTCCCAAGGCTGGCTCTCAGCCCTCTGGAGGCTGAAGCAGGAGGCTGACAAGTTCAAGCCCAGCCTGTGCAACTTCCTGAGAATCTGTTGCAAATTTAAAAAATTAAAGATAAAAAGCACTGGGATGTAGCTCAACACTCAGTAATGGTTAAAAAGAGGATGAGCGGGAAGAGGGGACCAAGAAGGAGGGGAAGGAAGAGATGCCACCAGGTACACAGAAGGTTCATTAAGCTAGTCAACATATTTTACGTTTAACACTTTTCTGATATTTGGATGCTGATATAATCAATGTTTTACTTATTCAGAAGGATAAAAAAGTCAGGAGAGAAATGTTTGGTTGATAATTTTAATTGTGAAAAATAGCAATTCAATGTTACTTCCTAGAATGCTAAAATAATAAAATGCATATAAGTAAACCAAAGGAAAATCCACTAGCGACAAGTGGAGACCTGTCCTGCACGCACATTTACCAGGGTGAAATCATTTTCCATCACACACAGATGAGACTGCAAGGAAGGAACACTTGGAGATCAGACTAGGTACCCACGCTGGCATCACCTTTCCTCATCTAAGAAGTGATTCAGAAGCACACAGGAGAAAAAGAACAGCACAGTATTGAAAATTTTAACCACAAAATTAAACGTAAAATAGGGCAAACTGCTAGGGGGAAGAAAGGAACTGAGAAAGGGTATCACAGCTGTCAGTGCTGGTCAAAGAACCAGCATATTTCACAAAAAATAAACAAATTTCTAAGGGGGAAAAAAACGACAATTTCCCCAAAATGAGTATAACCTAAAGGCACAGCCTGATTCTCTGCTTTCAGCAGTAGAAATGGAGTCCACAAGGAAGCAGCAGCGCCCCTGACCTAGGACAGGAAAGAAGCAAAGTGGAACCAGAAGTCTCCAACAATTCACTATTAATTATGGGTTCCTTAAGTGGCGACTGAATGCCCCTCCTAGAGACGGGGTGTAAACAGCGTGAAAAGAGAACAAACGCATCTGTGCTCACATCACACGTGGACCTGAGGGACGAATCCAGCTGCCCGGGACCTGGCCCCACTTCTCTTCAACGTGGTGTGGAAATACCCAGTCCCTCCATAAAGAAATGCCATCTGCAGACACTATAAGCAAAGGCAAGAAAGGGGAAGAACCAACCGAGGACATAAACAGAAACAGTACATTTAAACACTGGAAAAGTATGATCAAATCAAGAATACGAACTGCCTCCATGAAGATCTTTGCACAAAGTGCATGAGTGCTGGAAAGAAAGAACAGAACCACCAGAAAGACATGGACTGGCACAACGCAGGAAAGAAGCAGAGGAACCAAACTTCCCAGAAACAAAAGCACGGAAACACCAGAGGATGCACAGCACAAAAGCGGAAGACAGGTGATGGGCACCTAGGAGCTGACTAAAACTCACCATTTTCATGCTTAAAAGTCTCTAATGTAAGAATCTGATCTAGCTGCATGTTTTACTAATTCAGAGGATACATAAGTAAACCAAGAGAAAATGTTCTTCTCCAGAAGAGAGGGAGAAATAGGATGGAAATGAGTTTTACTTACAGATTTTTGGAAGAGAAAACAGAATAACCTAGCAGGAAACACCTTTAAAAATATAAGCCAAGAACACCTTCCTGCAAGAGAACAAGCTGTGGATCTGAGCACATCTGGTGTCAAATAATCTCCGGGACAAAAGGAACCCAGAATCTGCACGAGGCAGAGCTGGGAGCATCAGTAGACCAAAGATGACACCAAAAGGCAAACATAAGGACATCAAGAAGAGCAAAGCAGTCACTAAGAGTGGGAGGATCACTCCGTCCTCTGACATGGCCACAGCACCTCAACACCAGCAGAGCAGGGAGGAGGCTGACACCCTCAGACACCCGTGCCACGAACCTGTCCTGTTTCAACACGAACCTATTGAATTTAAGTGTCAACAGAGTCAAAAGTGAGGCCTAGGCCGGGTCACGGAGGCATCCAGGGTTATGTGGAGTGACAGGAAGAGAGAAATCAAAGACCACTACAGTAGCAGGTGTTACCCAGGACAGAAAGGATCAAGTTGCCATCAGCTGACAGGGGCTGTAGAATAAGAAGGTTTTAAAGAAAAACCAGTAAACTTTCCACATTCTTAGCCAACAAAGTGTCTGTATCACATCCTTAAAATAAGGGAGCACAGTCCCTCTAACCAGGAGGACAAGGAGGTGCCTGAAGCTATTCTGTTTGTGAACAAAATCTTTTCTTGGACTCATTCTCTGTGCTGGGGAATGAGTAAGTCAAACCCGAGCCATGATGTAAGACTCTAAGTGCTAGGAATAATGTGAAGTCTAACAATTGGAACCCTGCAGTAAATTAGTAGAACAGCATGTCCTGTGAAAAACACAAATCTATTCAAGGAGAAAAGGAAAGTTTCCAGTTGGTCCCAGTGCAATTCACCATGACATCAGTGTGTAACAGCAGGAACCGTACTGAGATGTTTAGAAGCTATTTGATTTAAGGTGTAACATTCTCCTAACCCCCTGGACTCCTAAACACATTCTGAGAAAATTAAAGGGAGGTTATTTCTAGAAATTGATTTAAAAAGCAAACCTATCTCAAAATAGGAGCTAAAATTGCATACAGGAAATGAATTTCAATTAAGGCCACAAGAAAGGCAAAACTGGCCTCCCGCACCCCATTTGCTTCTGAAGGAAAAAGGAGTTTCTACTCAGGAGTCTACAGATTTACACAGGAGGGCCTGACGAACGGGATGGGGCCACACTGGCCAGCTAGAAGGGCACCAGGTGAGGCAGGCCAGTTCCTGCTGCCCTTTGCCCCTTCCCCCTCACTGGCCGGGGAAGGGGACACTGTTGGGGGAGAGGGGGAAACTTCTGGCCTGGACTGGGTGTAGACTGGCCAGACCACCTTGCAGCTACTGGCAAAAGACACGCAGACCTGGAGCAGGAAAGAGCCAGGAGAGGAACAAAGAATGCCAGAGGGGGCCACTGAGGGGACTGAAACACAGCAGACCTGAAGGCCACGCACATGGAGGTGCTCGACATAGGCCTAAAGGAGACAGGGCCAAACATGTCCTGGGAGATGGTGTATAGGTGGGCCTGGTGCAGGGGACAGGGAGGGAGCATCCCAACAGGGCCAAGAGCAGGGGCGCAGTCTCTGGACACAAGTCCCGTACCGTGAAGCTGGACTCCTGAGCTGCTCCGCTGGTCCCGCGTCCCAGGCTCTCTCTTCAGCATTTCAGCCCCAGTGACTGTCTGGACACAGTCAGATCTTCTGCACCCCATGCTCACAGCACTCAGCAAGTTCCTGGGAAACGTTCAAGGCAGCCGTGCAACAGAGTCTAGGGAGACCCAACTCCAGTCCAGCCTTCAGGAGCACTGGGGCTCCATGCGTGGCTGCACAGGCGCAGCCCCAGCTGGCCCGGCCTGCAGGAGATGTGCAGTTTGCAGGACGTGACATGACAGCCGCTCTGGGCAGAGCACACAGAGCCACCAGGGCAGCAACCACACGGCCAGCACACCGCCCACCTAACCATTAGGGCCCAGGCGCTGGCTCAGTACCGGGTCAGGGCCCGGGAGGCCAGTGCCTGGGGACGTGAAACCTGCATGGCCCCTCTGGCCATCCACTCTTCTAGTCTTCTCTGCAGGGCGGACTGTACTCACACAGGACCCAGAAGGGCCACACCAGCTGGGCGAGCATTTACCAGGGCAGGACTGCACAGCCCTCGGTCTAGGCCTATCCCAATTACACCAGTGCTGCACTGACTGGGAACAGCCCGGCCTGCGGCCCGCTGGGGGTCATGGCAGCAAGCACTAACGGGTTTGCTATTGCTGCTAATCTCGTCATCTAATTTATAAACTGAACCAAGTCCAGGGAACGCAGGGCACTGCAGAGCTCACCTGCCTGCTCAGCCCTGAGTGCTTCCCTGGGACGAGGACGAGGGCCTGCTGTGCGCTTCAGGGGGACGCCCACCCAGAGACAGCAGCAGCCCAGAAGGACAAGGATGGGTGGGAATCATGAATGGTGACGAGTAAGAAAAGGCCCTCCAAAGCCGGAGCACTCACAACGTGGCAGCGACAGGCAGTGAAAACACTGCAGCAGGCAGAAGTCACACCAACAACGGCAAAAAGCCATGGCAGACAGTGGGAAAGAACACGGGAAGCAGGCGCACAGAAGCCACAATGCGTACCCGGAG